ACTGAACCATACTACTGGAATCCAGTTGTAGAGAGGGAGGAGGGATGAGCAAAGGAGCCAAGATGGTGGTGCAGAAACCCACAGAAACAGTTGACCTAGTGAGAGCATGGAGACCCTAGTCATAAAGCTGGGGAAACAGTGTTGGACCGAACCAAGCCCTCTGAATGTGGGTGCCAACTAGGAGGCAAAGACAGTCTATGGGACCTCTAACAGTGGAGCCAGTCTTTAACCCGAGAGCACAAATGGAATTTGGGAACGGTTGCAGCCCAGATACAGCAAGGAGGACCTAGGCCCTCCCCCAAATGATATGACAGACTTTGAAGGCCCCTGGTGGAGGGCCTCCCTATCCCTGGGGATGAGTTGGGAGATGGGTTGGGGGGTGGGGAACTTGGGAGGACGGGAGGTGGGAGGGAATAGGGGGGTGGATATATAAATATGAGTAGTAATTAAATAATTGAAATAAAAAAGGGGGAAAGTCCTGGTACTGATGGAGTCAGGCCACAGAAGAAGACAAGGAAACATGAAGACCACTTAAGGATATTTAGCAATAGAATGTGCTTTCTGGAGGTGAAAGACTGGCTTTTTAATTTAAAAAAAAAAACAGAGCACAATAGATGAACAAAATAAGCACTGTTGAGAATTGGAAGATTGTCATTGCATGGGACCAGAAAATAAAAGGAAATTGAAATCTTGAGGGAAGGGAAAAGCAATTTAGAAAACATATCTAAAATCTGAGTAATCAAATGATAGGAGGTCAGAAAAGAGAAATAATAAGCAATAATTGTAACTGGAAAAGATGTCTCTAGATTCAAGAAAAATTTGACAGTGCAAATGAAAAGATGCAAGATGATGCAGACCACACACGACTTGTAAAAGAAAACACCTGCATTTTCTCCCAACAAAAGCTTCAAAACAGAATTAGCTATGCAGGAAAAAGAAGCTGACATCAGGTTACCTCTCTGCATCCCTGGAAATGAGATGGCATTGAAACAACACCTGCAGCTTCCCACAGAAAAGAGCTGTGACCTGATCAGTGAGAGCTCAAAGGTACTATCAGCTTAGATCTTACCCAAGGAGAATATTCAAAACAGAACTTTATCCCAAGAAATGAATTAGAATCAGTCTTAACATGAAGAAGGGTAAAGAACAGAAAAAAAGGGATAGAGACGAGCTTTGCAATCTCTACCTGCATGGATGAAACTAGAATAACTTGACATAATAAAGGGCTCTGAAATAAAATTACATTCTCTGAAATGTGGCAAAATAATGGTTTAGACTGAAGCACACTAATCTCTACCAAACTTTTGGGCTGCCAATAAGAGAAAGAAAAGCCAGAGAATTCTCATCAGAATTTAGCAAGAAGAAGGAACCGGGATGATCACCAGCAAGGTCTAATGGTGTCTAGAAACTGGGTATGTCCTGGGCCACTGGATGGGGTATATTCATGAGGGTTATATCCACCTCCACAAATGAGAAATATGACCACATGGGGGCTTGTGTTTTTATGTTATGGAACTCTGAAAACAGTCCAGCACAGCTCCAGAGTGCCAGCTAGGACCTGCATCACTGTATTCTGCTCTGTCCCTTTCTTGTGTCTTTGGGTACCATGATGTCAACATGGCTGTTCAGCCTCAGGCATAGTACATACATTTTAGGCAGAGCAACACAAGCTGAGTTCACTGTGATTTCCCTAGTGCCTTGGTCAATAAATGTTTTCCTGTTTGTCATTACAAAGTGACTCACCAAAAGAAAATATGAGCAGTCATACTGATAACACTTTCTGCTTCCTCCAGAAAGCTTTCTGTTTAATGTGGAGGGGAAGCGTCACACAGATGCCAGCAGTGTCCACAAAGAAACTGTTATGTTTTGCTTTCACATTCTATGTGGAAATTTGAATTTCAAATAGCAAGATAACCCTTAGTGGAACTAATAAACTTGAGTAAAGTTACATTTCCAAGCAATCAAACCTACATACAGTCCCCGCTACTGGGCAGAGAAAGGTGAGAATACCAGTTTAGCCCAGACTAGGAAAATAGTGAGAATCCAACTAAAGAAAAGAACAAAAACGGAGTTGCTGAGGGGAGAGACAGCGTGAGTAAAGCACATGCCACAGTACAAGCATGAAGACCTGGCTTCAGACACTCAGTGGTCACTTAAGGCCGCATGTGGGTGGCACACACAGAATCCCAACAACACCCCTAGAGCAAGTCGGAGACCGAAGAGTCCCTGGAAGAGTTCCAGTCAGCTAGCCCGGTTTATGCAGTGGAAGTCGACAGAGTTGCTCCACCTGACTCAAATAAGATAGAAAGTGAAGAACAACTCTGGAGGTTGTCCTTTTACCACCCAAGTATGCTGTGGCATGTGCAACAACTCCTCCACTCACTGACAAGTACTCATGAGCGTGCACGCTCACATTCATGCACGCATACACACTCAAAAGAGAAAATGTGAACTTGATCATACCAAGAGAAACAACAGGGGCAAGAAAGGACAGAGTAAAATTTATGGCAAATATGAAGTACTATCAAAGATATATAATTTATAATCCTTTAAATGGGAGTGGAAAAATGCCCTCCTGTTATTAATAAATATTCCTAAAGTGATAAGCTAAAATGCCATCTAAAAGGATCAGAGGGAAGTATTCATACTGGACAAGGCATGTTTTATATACTGTATATACCCAATCACGGCCCAGGAAGAAAGCCATCAATAATGATGACAGACGGAAGTTTTGAAGGTATAAGAGACAATGACTAAAAACCATGTGATAGTCGTTCTCACTATAGAAACAACCTGGAAACAAAGGGCAGCTTTTCCTGTCATTTTAACAATTAGTCCAGTCTGGCAAATAAGCCATTGATTTTCTAGCAGAGCTGTAGGTGTAAAGGAGTGGAACAGTCAAGCAGACAGGCAATCACAACCCCCGGAAGTAATTGCCATGCCTGAAATGAATACCGGCTATTTCTGATCCAGTTCCTGTCCCCCCAGAACCTGGGACACAAAGTAGGTTAACAGTGCTGGATTCTTGCCGGGTGGTGGTGGCGCAGCCTTTAGGCTCAGCACTCAGGAGGCAGAGACAGGCAGATCTCTGTGAGTTGGAGACCAACCTGGTCTACAAGAGCTAGTTCCAGGACAGCCTCCAAAGCCACAGAGAAACCCTGTCTCAGAAAAAAGAAAAAAAAAAAAAAGGAAAAAAAAAAAAACAGTGCTGGATTCTGCCTTCAGTGGGTCACAGTTAGGGCAGACAGTTCTGTTCTGGGACATACAGGAAGGTCAAGATTCTTTATTCTAACACATAAGGAAACTGCTTTATTAAATAGACATGTTTTTAAGACAAAAAAATTGTGATTTTTGTTTTCTTGGCTCATTAGCATCATTCATCAAATACTTTTAATGAAGTAAATGTCCTTCGAAAAGTGAGTTAATGAATCATTTTGTCATTATAAGAGTGTGTACAACAGGTAGTCACAGGTCCCTTAAATCATTGCTCCCAGATGAGGGCTGCTCGGAAGTAGGACTGATGCCAGCACTTTGTAGGCAGACTCTTCTTTTCCACCAGCCTGCTGATAGCTTAGGCTTGTTACTAACTAGCTCTTACATTTTAAATGAACCCATTTCTATTCCTTTAGATGCTGCCATGTGGTTCATGGCTTCTCACCTCATTTTCTACACGTCCTGCTTCCTCTACATGTGGCTGGAAACCCCTGAGAGTTTTCCCTTCTTCCTCCCAGCATTCTCCCTGCCCCCCAAAATACTAGCTATTGGTCAATCATCTTTTTATTAACAATGAGAACAATATATTTTCATGTTGTACAGGAGGATTATTACACAACACCAATTTGGTCACTCAGGCTCCCTGGATTTCTAAAAGCAAAAACATTGTCAGATGGTGGTGCTCACGCCTTTATTCCCAGCACTCAGGGTCAGAAGCAGATGGATCTCTGTGAGTTCAAGGCCAGCCTGATTTACAGAGCGAGTTCCAGGACAGGCTCCAAAGCTACACAGAGAAACCCTGTCTCCAAAAATCACAAACCAAAACAAACAAATAAAAAAATTAACTTCTTCCCTGCCCTCTCCCGGACTCCTGTAAATTTATGAAGTTTTGCATCTATTCCCCCTTGGACTCCTCCCCACATGTTTATTGAAAGAGTTCTCAGTTGTGATTTGAATATGTTAGTAGTTACTGGAGAAAGTAAGACCACATTAAGAGACCCTGAATGTTACAGAAAAATGGAGCTATGAACTAACTACACAATCCAGTTTAGATTTGAAACAGTGTAGCAGCAAAATGTCAATACAAATGTTTCTAATGAAATATGTCCTGTAACTAGATGCAAAATCATTTAAAATATTATTTGTAAAACTGCTGGTGAACCCAAACATTAAAAATCACTAACCCATCCTTTAAATCATCAAAGAAAATTTCCACTCTTAGTCCTTCCCTCACAAGCTGATGGTGGAAATCTAAAATAATTATTTTTCAGAAAAGACTTACCACATTCAAGGACCCTACAAGGCCATCCTGGGTTGTCACCGTTACTGGGGAGGGTTAATGACATCTGTCTGTCTGTCTATTTGTTTGTTGTTAGAGCAGTTTCATTGATAGGTAAAGAATTCCACATATCCAATGTGTACATCTGGATAATTTTGGTAATATGCAAAAACATGGTCCTTTCAGAACAATCAAATAACAGAGCCAATAGTTAATTTCTTATATTTCTTTGTGGTTTTAGTTTGTTGTATGCAGTAAGGACACATAATGTGAGACTTACCTTTTTCACAAATTTTGAACTGCACAAAATCGTATTGCCGACACTAAACACTACTGTCAAACAGTAGATGTTGAAAAAAATTATATGATATACCCAAAACTTAATACCAACTTAAAATCTCCCATTTGTTATATGACTTTTGCTGAGGAAATGCAACACAAACACATTTAACTTAACCCAGATCGGAAGTCCAAAACAGACCAAAGTACAGATACCACCAAAGTCCAATTTGGTGAACCAATCAGTTTTATTGGGGTTACTTGTAGCATAATTGGTGAGAGGTCATTTACAGGAGCATAAATGACCCAAAGACAGCTACATCACAGTCTTTGTCACTCAAAGCCCACCCAGAATGAGTGACAACTCATCAAAGTTGGACACCTGAAGCTCACTGCACAGCCTGAAGGCAGCTCCACAGGTTAAGTGTCCGTTCCAGGGGGCTCTGTTGTTTGAAACCTTGTCCAGACAGCTCAGCTGGTTTTTGCTTCTTCCAGACTGCTGCTCTGGTCTCCGTCTTATCTATTCAGGTTATTTCTTCTGAGAGTGACTCTCAGCACTCTATGGTTTACTCTGAGGAGAAGCCTTGAAAATCTGGCCGGTTTCAGGAACTTCCTGAAGATATTTTATTTACTTTCTGCCTTAAGAAGCTTCCCTGGGAGATGGAATGTTTCGATCCAGGAGGAAACTGCTACTCAGCACCACTTCCAGCACCCTCCAGGCCTTGGCAAATACTGTTGTATCATCTACAGTTTTATTTAGAAAGTATCATTTACACTACTATTTAGAAAGTTTATGGTAATAGAATCATGCAGTATTTGGCACATCTGTAGTAATAGTAAAAACACACAGAAGCAAAGAATACTGGTTGCTACTTGCAGCTAACAAATGCAGCATAACTGGGTGAGAAGGTGTGTACCTACCTTTTCGGCACTCAGGAGCCTGTCTGGATAACCAGGTGTTTGAGACCAGCTTGACCCATGAAAATGCTAAGGAGCACTCTTCAGCTACAAAATGAATGAAATAATTTCATTTGTAGAAACACGGTTGGAGCTAGGAGTCATTATGCTAAATGGCATGAGTGGACTAGGCTAGGAACAGAAAGACAAGGGTCATACTATCTCAAGCATCTACAGAGCTCCTAGAAGTGAGCATAGAATGGTGATATCAGTGGTAAGAAGGACAGATGGGACATAAAATAGGGAACAGTTAGCTAACAAGTGCTAATAGTTATATAGGAACAGGAAGTTCTTACCAGCTAGTTCATACTAAGAGGACTATAGGTAACAATTATATGCTGTATATATTTTTTATTTCTTGTTTGTTTTGGTTTTTCAAGACAGGGGTTTCTCTATGTAGCCCTGGCTGTCCTGAACCTTGCTCTGTGGACCAAGCTGGCCTAAAACTCACAGAGATCCACTTGTCTCTGCCTCCCAAGTGCTGGGATTAAAGGTGTGTGCCACCACTACCCATGCTGTATATATTTTTTAAGTTACAGTACAATATTTATTGTTTTTGGATGGTAAACAGTTCAGGAGATATATACAAGTAACTTGGCTTAAACATTATGCTGTATACACATGCATGGAAACATTACCTAGTACCTCATTAACATTTTTAATGATCTTATTTATCAATAAAAATTAAGCATCCAATAAAAGCTATGTAAGTTTTAGTTTATAAACCCTCACCATGTACTCACTTGATAAAATGAGTAAACAATAAACCTATATCTCTGGCTATTTGGGATATTAAATAATTGTTATTTGGGGATAGGGAGATGCCTTGGTGAGTAAACCAATTTCCTCACAAAAATGAAGATCTGAGTTTGAATTCCCTGAATACAAGAAAGCCAGGTGTGGAAACATTCATTTCTGTAATCCCAGCATTCCAGCTGGAGATGAGGGGGTACACAGGTGAATCCTCAGAAGCTTGCAGGCCAGCTAGTCTGGCACAAGCAGCAGAAAAAGGACACTAAACAAACATGCCCAACAAAATAAATGGTGAATACTATTACCTGAAGACTTCCTCTGACCTCCACATGTACACTGGCATCCAGGCATATATACACATTACATAAAGTCTCCAAAATATAAATTACTGTCCAGTGTACAAATATTTAGGCCCCCTAATACAATTTATCCTGAAATTCAACTGTGGTTCTAATTTCTGAAGAATGTTTCCAGTAGCAAAAGAGGTCCTATTAATATCACAGTGGAGAGATCACGTGCTTCCAGAGAGCGGGTGTTTCACAAAGGAAGATGCTATTTGGATTCTCGGGTAGGTGGAAGCGTCCCCTCTAGCTCTTTCTTTGGCAGCATGCATAACAAGCAGTACTTCCATGCAGAGGCATTGATTAGAGCAAATTCCTCATTACAGAGTGATTTTGTTGTCTTCTAATGCCTTTTTTCTTGAACTTCAGAGTTTATAAAATAAATCAAAAACAATGTCAAGGAAAATGAAAACACCTAAGATCCTTAGGTTACATGTCCGAAGTTTATGCAGAAGCACGTTGGGAGCTTAGCCAGAGAGCACAGATGGTGAGTGGCCTTGCAGCACTGCAGGAGAGAGGGCGCAGTTCTGTAAGGTTAAGGTGCCTTGGGTCTAGCAGCTAAGATCATTCCCTAACACTGTCCGTGGAGGCGTAGCTTGCCTAAAAGGATGAACAAATCCCAACTGCTCAGCTCTTACACCTTAATAAAAATTCATAAGACAACAATTTAGTCATTTCATGTTTCAACTTTTGTGCTTGTTGTCTTTCAAGTGTAAATTTCTCTTCATATCATCCAAAATTAGAATTGCAATTTATTTTTCTTTTCTGTTTTGGGTATTTTGCTGTCATCTTAGATAAGCTAATGAAGTGTGTGGGCTCTTGTCTTAGAAAAGTAATGAATCTGAGCGTTAGCTCAGTCCGTGATGGTCTCCCTGAGAAGTTTGAGGACCTAAGTGTGGTTCCCAGAACACACATTTAAAAAAAAAAAAAAAGCTGAGGGTAATGGCTCCCCCATGTGACCTCAGCACTAAGGAGACAGACATGCAGACACCAGGACCCTGCTGGCCAGCTGGTCTGGCCTATGTGGTGAGTTCTAGGCCAACCGGAGTCCTGTCTAAATAAACTGTTCAGCCAGAAATCCAGAACCCGAATCGCCACCGTAAGACCAACTCCAGTGTAAAAAGAAAGCGTTTTTATTTGAGAGTTAACTCGGGTCCCTCCATCTGTCTGAAACGTTAGCGATAAGCAAGACACTGACATGAGCAAAGCAGCAGAGACCCAGGCCGGTCAGTAGGGGGTTTATATAGTAGCCAGGCAGAAGGGCAGGACTTGAGGAACTCCAAACCAGCCTTGCTACAGGCTTATGATTGGTTCAGGCTCTCCAAAACTGCGTAGTTACAGCCGGGGGAATAGGTTCAAGCCTGGACTGTGCTCATTGGCTGCCCCGGGTCTAGGGGAATTCCAAGCCCTCTGGATGGTGATTGGCTGCCCCAGGAAGTGATGGGCAATCCCAGTTTAAGGGAATCTCCAGCTTGAGATTCTAAACCCAGGGGGGGAATTCCAAGACTGCTGGCCTGAAATTGGTCAGTTTTCCCTGCTTGGGGATTGGCTGGTTTTGAGTCCAGGGCAGAGATGGCTCTGATTCCAGAGCCAAGCTGTGTTTCTTTCTATGGTTCTTCTTGGCTTTTTGGCTACAATTTTAGGGCCTGGGTGAATTTCTTTCACATGTCCTGAATCTAGGAGCCAAGTATGTTCTTTTGGTGCTTGTTTTGGAGTTGGGGTGTTTTTCTCTGGCTCTAGGCTTAAGGATAAAGTGTCCATTTCTCTAGCTCGGGTCCCAAATTCGGGGTGTGTTTCTTTTACTCGGTTGGGGCTTGAAGCTGAGCTGTTCAGGGGCTGTGTAGGGGCTATGGACCAGGGATTTTCTGTGGCCTGGGTCTCTCAAACAAAATGGACAATTCCCAGGAATGATACCTGAGATTGATGTCTGACCTGCATATATGTGTGCACGTGTGTGCACTCACACACATGCAGACACACATGGCTAATGAAGTTACTAATCATGCTTTATTTATGTAAACAGAAACCAAAGTTATTTTAACAGGGAAAATGTAAAGAGGTTAGAACATCAGACAGTGAAGAAACTAAAAGAAAATACTGAAGTTGTAGGCATAAGAATTTCTCTATGTCTGGAGAAACAGAGACAAGGCTTGTGGTTAATGATCCAACCAGATAGTGCTGGTTTCTCCCAGATTTAGGAGACAGACCCTATGCAGCTGAGCCACAGAATCTTAGGATATGCCGAGGGCCCTGAAAGAGGTTGCTGATACCTCTAAGCCAGCACAGGAGGCTGGATGTGAGTGTGGGGAAACTTGCTGCCAGGATGAAGAACAAACCATATAGTGACACCATGGGAGCAGAAAGGGAACCTATGTCTTAGTGTTAAAAATTAATGTATTTGAGGAAAGTAGTAAGCACTATGTACAAGATAAATTGATGATAGTTAGACAATAGATAGGGAGATACATAGATATATAGATGATATGTAGGTAGGTAGATAATGGATGCATGTGTAGATAAACAGAACACCAGTTTATTTATATGTTGGTGATAGGGAGAAACAGAATTATTACCTCTTAAAAACAAATTTAAAGAAAATTCCTTAAAGTAGCCTACACTAATCAAAAGTTTGATGCTAACATGGAGTGAATAAACCAGGTATGTATGATAATTTTGACTGGATAAGCACTACAAGTGCCATTTCAATAGGTGGGAAAATATTTAACAGATGAGATTATAAAAAGTGACCATCAGGAAAAATTGTTGTTAGCTCACCTACACCTTGTGGTGTATATATAACATAGTTTCGGTATACACCAATAGCCACCACAAACCTGTGACAGAGTCAGATGTTCACATACACCAAGAAAACAATCTTCCAAATGTGTATAACACAGAAAGCACACGTGTTTCAAATCAATATCAAGAAGCACAGAGAAATCTATTCCTGACCCATTGTGTAATCTTAAGTCTACAGAATAGGGCCTTGACCTTGACTAAAGTTTGAAGAGCTTCCTGTGAGGCAGCCTTGATAATATCCCTGAAAAAGATCCATTTTCCTCCATCAATAGCGCCCGATTCAGCATCGCTCAGTCTATTAAGTCAGCATCTGAAACACAGAGCCCTGTCAGGATTCAAGACTCATAATCTACTCTAAGTATGCCGAGTGTTATCTCAATGTAGTCAAACCCTATTTGTGCTTGTATGTATGGAGTCTCTAAAAAATCCACATGGGTTAAAATTTGCATATTTACATATGTTACATATATGTCTATATATCTGAAATACCTCTACTTTCATCAGTGGGGTTCCTTTCTAGTATTCAGCAAGCTAATAGCAACAATTTTCAAAGAATATTGTTTTGAAAACTTCATGTGGGACTGATGTTAGTATTCAGGCATCTGTACTGGCCTGTCCTTGGGGTTCTGACAGGATAGGCCCTCAGCTGCAGCCACTAAGAGCACCACCCGTGCACATTCACTATGTTCCCTTTAAAAGGGTCCTGCCCACCTCCCATCCTTATCTCTTTTTATTTCTCTCCCTCCGTCTGTTTCTCTGTCTTTCTCTCTCTCTCTCTCTCCCTCTTTCTGCCCCTCTTTCCTCTCTCCTGCTGCTCCTGTCCTTGGAGACTGGTCTCCCCTTCCCCTCTCTATGATCCCATTTCCCAATAAAACCCCCTCTGCTTGAACCCGGTGGCATGGCATCTTTCTCTAGAGCACAGCTTTTCTTAAATCACAACAGCTGCACCTCTGGAGAATTAGCATTCTGGTATGAGGCTAACTGACCTGCATAATAACTCAAGCTAAGTCACAATTTACCATATTATAAATGCAAAGCATTTCTAAAGTAAAATAGCAGTATTGTGACAGGTGGAGCCACGTGTCATATTTTAAGACACATTATCTCTCCTCTGGCATTTTTACATGGGATACATGGCAGATAAGAGAACAAAAAGA